GCCGAAATTTTTGACGTTCCATCCAGTGTCCTTTTCACCTTGAATGGATGCAGAAGACTTTATTACCACGGGGAAATTTGACGAAAACGAAACTGGGAGACGTTTTGATGCCACAAGCAAAAAAGCAAACAAATCGGTGGAAGAAGCCTGACTTCGTTCGTTTTCTCGAAATAGGGATGACAACCCGTCAGCAAAAAGATGCTGCCTTAGAGGTTGAATGTAGGGAGGTTTTCACATTCCCATCAAAAACGTAGACATGAGGAAAGAATTCATGAAAGGCAAGGGGAGGTACACGTTTACCGGCCCTCCACAGCTGGTTATGCATTTACGTATGCCTGAAATCTGACGGTCCGATATAGTAGTGCATCTTTACGTAGGTGACCGTTGCATTTGCGTGCCACCTGTCACAACGTCAATGATTCCTGCAATTCGGATATCTCCCGGTCCGCTGCTGTGAATGTAGTTATCATCTATGATGCGGTTACCTCCCGGGAAAGCTGGCTTTAAACGGTCGACACCAGTAGTATCTTCACGCCTGATTCCCTCTCGATTACCATCGTAAAGCAGTTCAGGCTGTCGGTAGACAGCATCATGGCGTGACGGCCTTTTTGGTATGGGGTCGATGGAGACATCAGTTGTTTGCGGTCGGAGAGAAGTAGATCTAATTGAACTCTTCGCGTCTGCAAGCCTATCTGCGTAGGGCAGCGTGTCAGCGAAATTCGTGAGAATAGCGAAGAAAACGAACTCAGTTGGCAGGCGAGGATTGGCTCCATAAGCGGATTCTGTGACAGTGCATCCAGCATCAGTTTTCAGTGCATCCCGGGTACTCAGCAGGACCACAGGCATACCTTTGTCCACTGGGGTATTTGGGGCCGAAAAAGTATCTTGCAACAGCCGATGGAAACCTACTGCTATAACAGTCGTTTTTGGATGTTAGAATGATATTCAAAACCTAGTACAACCTACAACAAAATTTGTAGTGCGGGACAATCCACACTGGAATTGGCATCAGCAATCAACTACCAAGTAAGATAGACAAACAAAGTTTACCAACCATCCTTTGACGAAAACATGAGTGAGGACTTCAGCAGTAATATCCCTAATAAGTGCCGCTTCTGATCGCCCCCATTAAGCGGTCTGTACAAGTGAAAAGATGTGCGTGTCCATCAGATTCCTGTAAGGGCCATGTAACATTTATATGGACGTGGTCGAAACGCAGGAAAGAACCCTGCAGGAAGTTTCGTGTGCCGTGTCTTTAGGGTGGCCGCGCCCAGTTGAGCTCACTCTTTAGCATCTGCCTGCGGTGAAAAAGGTATGACTGAGAGCGTTCTAAACTTTAACACTGTGTACGTGCTGAAAAGTGATATTCCCTTGACCGTTTCATAACCAGTGGAATCTTCTGATGTTTTTAGTCGGATTTAATGACCTCCTATCTGAACTGCTCAGAACCCATAAAATCTTGTAGGTTTTTCAACATTCATCAATGTGATGAGACCTATGGACTGGCTTCTGTCACGTTGAATCGCTAGTGTGAGAATAACATATTCATTTATTTATCATCTTTCTGCATCCTAGGCCAGCAGAAACATCGTGCGATAAACCCGGTGGTGTTTCTTACACCCTGACGGGAAGGTTTATGCAGAGTATTGCAAACGTTGTGTCGACAGCTTTTCAGAACTATTTGGTGTGGCTGCTTGGTGGACGCATCGCAAAAAACTGTACCTTCGCCTGATCCTGCCGGGTCCAGTTGCAGCTCAGGGGTCGTGGACGACCACTGACACTTCAGCTTGGAATCCTTCTTTTAAGGCCGCTTCAACTCGACAGAGTCACATCCTTCAATTCAAAATATCGAAGACACTCGAGACAGTGTGTTGGTTACTAAACTATTTGCTCCAGCTGTGTGTTAGATATTTGACGTGGACCTGAAAATGCCATACACTAGTTATCGTGACCCACGTGTGAAGTACTTGCCGGATGGTGGGCTGAAACGCGGGGTGGCGGCCTGTGGTATTTGAAAAGCACGAAAGCACCTTATATACCCAGTATTAAAAATGGTGCGGGGAACCGTGCATATCTAGGGGTTCCATACTAAATGTGCCATGCCTCTTTTCCACCTCGGGTGAAGGGCTAGTGGCTGCCGGTGATTTTCAGTCAGTAGTCAGGGAAGTGCTTCGACGACTGAATCAGATGCGTTGACAGCAACCAATGAAGGACCACGCCGGTCATGGGCATAATTGGCCATAAGATGGCTTCCTTGAACGTAGAAGAAGAAAGTTTAGTCCCCCCACCTCGAGTCACACGCTCTGTATCCTACGGGAGAGATCCGTCAGTAGTTTCATAAGCGAGATTAGCCGGGATCTAAGGACACTCCACGTAGGATATGTTAGCACTCGTTATGACCACCATTTATTCATCTATTTGGGCCGTATCCGGCTAAAGAAAATTAGGTGAAATAAATGACGTCATCCTGTCCCACTGGGAGTATTCTCGCTGCCTTTTTCGACCACCATAAGGGAATAAGTCTTTGGCAGAAACTTACCGGCCGGCTGGAATCGCGTACCTGCCTTACACTGGTTGGTTCCGGTTGGCCCAGAACAATTGCAGATGGGGGTTGTTGTCAATAATATACTGGGGGAAACTGAGCGATCTGACTACTGTTTAGCCTTTATGGTTTTTCATTGAACCGCTAGGCTTTTTCAGTCTGCTGAGTGAGATGTCCGAGCGTCTAAGCTGAGCTGCCTTATCCGGAATCGCAGTGAGACGGTCGTTGAAGTAAACGTCGACAGAATCCAGACCACGGGAGGCATCATCCGTAAAGCACTGGGATGTCTTTGTTGCATTCCGAAAACCAAAAAGCATGTTTGGAGAGTTAAACAGTCCGCATGGTGTGTTAATTGTTGTCTTCGCGATATCTCCAGCCGACATAGATCTCTGACCAGGGTGATCTCGAAAAACATGTCCACTTCATATAAAGGGGCAGTCAATTAGAATATATGAGTTATCGGTTGGCAGCTAGGGGTTGTTTTGCCGCAAATCCATCGACAATCACCAAGTGGGTACAAATCCATGCTACCCGTTTTCAGAGCTATATTCAGTAGTGTTGCCCGAAGACAGATCGACTATTCGCTAATTTCAAGTTCAAGCATGAGTTTGAGTCCCTTAATCGCCATTTTGAGCTTTTCGGATAGCAACGTCTGTGTGCCGGGGATGAACCTGTGGTCATGATGTGAAGGATAATATTGCTGGCTATTCGTAGTAGAGTACCCGTTGACTGTCTCAACTCTAATATTCTCTAAGCGCCGTTTGACAGGACGAGTCGACCAGACATTTCATTCTAACCACAGCTAAACTTGACCCACGTAGACGGCTTCTACAACAAACAACTTTCTGCTGTTGTTTATCAGTCGTCACTCATAGGGGTCTACGGGTGGGTCGTAATTGTTCAGCTAATCTTAGCGACTGATGGCTAGAAATATCAGCTAGAATAAAAATCCAGCGAATGGGTTTGCCCAAACCCAAGTTGGGATAGACATACCTTTTTCCAGAAGTCACGACCAGCTTCCCATCCGCCACCTGGATATTGAAGGACGGGTCATCACAGCCTTGGCAATATGGTTGAGAGGAAAATGATAACTGCTGAACCAGTACAGCTTAGGAAGCAAACTTTAGTTTTCACGTCACCAACTCACGACGAATAGCCTTATACACCAGTTATGGTTTCTGGTTTGTCACGTGTTGTGAAACTAATACAACATAGGGCTTCTAATCCTGAGGGGTTTAGCCGTTGGACAGCCATGTGCATCGTTGCCGTGGAACGGATCACGCTGTTGCTGTTGTTGCTGTTAAACGTGGCCTCTCTCATGTTAACTTCATAACTTGAGAATAAAGATATTTATTTTATTCTGTTATTTGAGTTCGTATGAACTGATTGCCAGAGTTGTATAACCCTTCACTTTCTGAGTCTCTGCACTGCCAAACGTAATTTGGGGACAAGCCTATGGCCACAAAGCAGCACCAGCACGAGAAAGAGTAAGCCAACCAGTTTAAGAACTGTCTTCACATGAACTTGATTGGCTTGAAAGTCAGTCACTAACTGTTTGTGCTTGTAGAACACCCACGACTGCTGTCACAAGAAAAACACGGCAGGATTGCCAGGTAAGGGTATTATCTTTGGCAGACCGCGCCAAAATACCTCTGCGTTTCAACTAACTGACTGGAGGATAGGGAACGAGTAATACAGTGTAATATAATAACGTGCCCAGTGGTGTGAATACTTGACTATATCCCTTCAGTTTATTCAGGCAGATAAGGCTATGGAAGTCACTATCAATGCTGAATATCATCGAACGCTATGCCACTGCTTTTGGGATTTTGTAAGCTGTCTGCTGAGCTACTTTCAGGTTACACTTGCTTCAGTTGGTATACTGACGGGTAACTCAGTGCTTTTGAAACAAGAATCTATTTAGGTTAAACATCAGATATAGATTGTTTGTGTAAGTCACAGCGGGTTTGAAATCAAGTAATTCCAACGTTTGGCATGGAGGTGTGACCCGAGCTTCTTCAGTCAAATAATCAAAACTAACATAATAAGGATATATAAATGAATCCGAAATACGTGTATTTAATCTCCTTGTCCAATCCTCTCTGTATATCCATTGTAACTTACACAAATGTAATCGATATCTAATGTCAACCTTTTACTCAGACCCCAATATTTGCCATACTGTACGATGAAATTTTGGTCATGGCTTATATAAATTAATTAGGTTAAAGTTTCTTACACTATGCCTTCACCAATTGGAAATGGTTATAATCACTTTGTTCATTATAACTTATTTGCACTCTAGAGCGGGTTCGATAAGGCGCAACGCTTGACCTTCACCTGTCGCGAGGATTAATGCATTTCTACTAATTTACCCAAGGATATATGTCAGGAATTTTATAAGGCTACGCGTTAAATAGGTCACGTAAAGTGATAAGAATCATTCGGCTGATCGATAATGAGTCTTTTTACGAGTCCACCTCCTGTTGTCAAACGACTAATAAGCTACATTAAGGAAGGGTCAGATAAAGAGGAAAAGTGGAAAGAAAAAGCCGTCAAGTCACTAGTTAAACGATTGAAGAATGGCACGCAGCTGGATGAACTCGAACGTGCTCTGGTTAGTCAAGATCCATCCACTCGATGTGTTACAATACCACGTTCATTGGATGGACGCCTTCAAGTACGTTTTCTGTATTTTAGGATATTTATTCGGCGCATTTGTTTCCATTCATTGTTGTCCATTTGTCTATCAAGATTTTTTTAATAGGTATCTACTTTCATGTCCTCAAGCAAATGTTATTTCATACTATTCGTTCCTTTGCATCCACTAAGCAATGCCTATATTTCCAAAATACACTCAAGGATTTTAAGAAGAGATTGAAAGATCCGTGTTCACTGTTGGCTGTTTTAACAAGTGAGGACAGTTAGGTCCATGTAAGTATTAAGTTCCATCTGTTCTAAATTGGCGTACGTAGGCATTATCACGCTCATGTGTCGTCTGCGTTTTCACCATCTGGACTTGCGAAGTGGATATTATAGTAATTATCAATACATATACATTGTGTTGTCATTTTTTCTAGCATCGTAGTCATCAGTAACTGTGAGGACGCTACCATGGACAGTAAATTTGCTGAGTTAATCATCCAATGGTGAAGTCAGCTTTCAGCGTTGCGACTGTTTTCGTGGCTATTAGATTCCTATAGGAAGATGCACACTAACTAAAAAACGATTTAAATGCACTTAATCGCTTTCAAATCTTCGCCCCACCTAATTTACCCTGAACAGCGTGGTGGTATCACAAGCCGTACTACAATGTTGCTTACAGCCTGATAATTGAAAATACAGGTCCTAAGTATAGCGGGATCATCCCCAGGCTAACACTACGTTTTCTGATTGTCTGTTCACAGATTTAATCTAACAGATCGTTATTTGGAGCTTATGATCACTACTTAGGTAATATGTGTCACTATCCCCTGAAGCTTTTTTAGTACGTGTGGTTTGCCTCCCAAACACAGATTTGCTGCGATACATGGCTGTAAAATTTGAATGAAACCAATGCTGAGTAAAGTAGTAAATATATAACTGGTGCAGTTCCAAAGAATCTTGTTTGATGAAAGTGTAAGTGACAGTTGGATACATTTTCTTTAGTCTTCAAGCCAACCCTTATTGGTCACTGTGGTTAAAAAATAAACTTTCAGGAACTTGACTAATGTCGAATGTTGTAGTTCCGTCGAACTAGTGACTGACAGTCATTACGGATGGATAAATCCCAAGTGACCTCATTTAGCAGCAACTAGCATATGTTATGAGACGTTTTTGTTTGCATCAGCAGCATGCCGGCCGGTTCGTACGCCGAAAAAGGTATGTCAGAGTGATGTGACTAAGTAATTAATGGCAATGACTGGTTGACGTGAATGGAAAGTAAAATGTTAGGCAAATCAAAGTGCATTAGCACCGGTTGCCACACGACAACACTAAGTGGATAGACAAAATATGATAATGAAGTAGACGAAAGTGTTCTGACGAAAAAATAAATAAAGGACAACCAAAATGTCTGAAATTCCGAAGATGGCAAAGTATGTAAGTCAGCGCCACTACGACTGGTTTTAAATCGTCACCAAAGGTCTCCAACAATTGATTCCTGTCATGTTGAGTACCCCAGTCAGGTAGCACGTACGACCATCACAGTTAGAGACTTCATGGACCGCTGCTGTGTATTGCTTTCATTATCCCTTTCTTTCACCCTAGTCTTGCTTCTGCTGACATTGCTCGTTGGGTTCAGTGATCGCTTGATTTCCCCAATACGTGATCAAACGATCTCAATAGGCGCAAGTTAAACTCGTTGACTAACGCTTTTTGCTTAATGCTGTACGCTAAATCTCATCATTACTCGCTGTGGTTCTACCACAGGTGATTGATGTCACGGAGCTGCGCAAGATTAGTAGCCTGTATTTTTAATCAGATCTAACTTCGACGACCTTGTCTTACAATCGCAGAAGATAAGGCTAGCTGTCGCACTGTAAGTTCACCCTTTGATTTGTAGTCAAATATCTCGCCGGTAGCAGCTGCAGTGTGTTAGTAAATGCCAAACAGAATTTTTGTCCTCTAGTCAGGGTTTCACCACTAGCCGACTTGGGCTGATAATTTCCCAAGCAGGTACCGTGGTCAATGCATCCCACTATTTCTCTCCCTGTCCTTAAACTAGGAGTCAGTGTACACCTGTCTTTAAACATCATATTGTATGTGATGGGTACTAAATGCCTGTCAGATGCACTCATATTTTGCTTCTTTTGTCGTGATCTTCGCTTAACTGGACGTCTTCTATCTTCTGAAAAACCACGTGAGCAACAAATCAATTCCTGAGTAACCCAACATAGATAAAATTACATCTGTAAGTTCATCTGCCGAAAGTCAAATACTCAGTGGACATGTGTTAGCTCAGATGTCAACTCCACAGTCGAACCCAGCACTTTCACATTTTCAGCCCAAGAAGTGTGAAAAGTGTCTCGCCGCTGTTCTGAAATTCACCACTGAAAATCTGACCAGTTCTCTCTCATGTAGATCTCAAACCATCGTAGTTTTATCAGTTGATTTGGCGTCAAGTGATTATAGGTAGATAAAAAAAATTATGATGGTCAAACAAGTTTGCGCTGATAAAAGTTACCCTAGCTCGAAATTCCAAACCAGTGACGTTCATTGTTAGCGTACTACCTGAGCTCTGACGTCATCATCATCAATATACGACCATGCATTACTGCGTAGCAGTCCGAGTTGCCACTGCTCATATCAGTACATCAAGTAAAAAGTCACTGAAGTGGAAGATGAAGAAAAGAAAACTCAGTCAAAAGAAATTTAAAATGCTAAAAGAGGGGAAATGGCGAGATTCGGTATAGCGTTAAGGTGAGGATAATGTGTGTATGCATCTGCGCCACTGACTTCGATTCTGAGCTATTTCATCCAGAGTCCCCAACCACTGGTTCCTCTGAAGTAGCTCTTATGGCACTGCTACTAACTCAGCAACGCGTGGATATCGATGCACTAAGCAATGAGCCACACAATAGGCGTGAACTAATTCGTGGATAGTCGGTTTTCGTTTTACATGTACAATTAAAGTTCCCACACTGAAACCGTTTACCACATATTTACATGCAGAGATGCAAACCGGCCACTATAGTATAAAAGCCATTCTTTCTGTTGGAATCCAACTCCCCGTTGTAAACTCACTCAAATTATTTAAACTTTTAATAATTCAATTCCCAGTGAAACAACAGTTGAGTGGGTGGAAACAACATTTATAAGGCGAGATATGGTACTTCACATCTTACCTTTCAGTTGTGCTTACAATGATTCTTGCCACATGCAACCGGTGCTACGATGATAACAAAATAGTTTTTGCTACTCATTTTTAATGATGTTATTTTCCAGCGATATAGTGGATAGCGCCTAGTACAGTTAGTGCTTTATAGTTATAGTTATCTGTATATCTCAGTGCTACTGATGCTGTTGTTATAAACAATCTTACTTTGATAAGACATCATTCACTGCCTTGTGACCATTGCTCTTACTCCTGTTCGGGTGTACATTTCTAATTGTATCATCTCTATAAATATTTTTTTATCCATTGTATGGGATCAGCAGTCTTAGTTGGATGATGCGATAGGGGACATGATGAGGGATATGATAAATGTATTAGTTTTCTTAATCATTACTTAGCTTTGGCTATCGGGAAGTCATAAATCCACTGCTATGTTGGTCGATAATTCCATTCTCATAAGAGTTTGTCACTGAGCCACGTCACACCGTATCTCCAAATACTCTTCGAATTGACCAACACTGTCACGATCCTCGGACATGCAATTCACCAATACTTCAACACCAACCAAGCCCGTTTTATGTTACTTTTCTTAGGCTACCGTCCTACCGACTTTTGTACTTATCAGGTTATATATATATATATATATATATATATATATATATATATATATATATATATATATATATATATATATACTTACCCACTTCACTTCTTGTCAGATTGATATCGATGCAGTTTTGTACAGCAACAAGTTTCATCTGAGAAAGCGTGGGACGTATCTTAAGTATTGTCAGATTCCCATTTGTTTTCAGCTGGTATTATTTTGTCCGCATATGCACGTAAACGAAGAATATTATCTGTGTACCCGAAATAAACGAAGGGAAATCAAGTAATGGGAGTTAGTTTAAAAAAAGTGCTACCGCCATGAGTGTAAATATGACAATGTAAAATGAAAATAGAGGGAGTCAGCCTTCTTAGTAAATACTGCTCTGCAAAATCATCTCAGGGTATCGCTTACCCTCACCCGTTCCAGATATGTGGAAAACTACTACCCTTATCACAAAGATCGAGAGTTAGAATCATATAAACCATGTCTGAAAGTTGTGAAGTTACTTGATATGAATGTGGACAATAAATTATGTCCGAAACGTTATCCAGAAAATAGTACTATTTCACTGTGATATGTATAATAGATAGACTAAAATGGTAATATAGCTATACTCACCACAATAGACAAGGGTGACCACCACAAGTTAGCATCAAAAAACTTTCATTCCTTGGTTTTTTGAACCGATTGATAGCTGCTACCTTGATGTGGTGGTTGGGATTGCACATCAGCATGACCTAACGATCTATGCTGGTGGAATGTTTGTTACCTGGAGGTCCTACCGTGTCAGAAAGGTCTGTTGGATAATAGTAAGACGCAAAAGAGTTACCGTTGTGCCATAAATTACCACAGTATGGTAAGGATCTGAAAGCGAAGTTGTACTGCTGCTAGCTGGATGGGGTGCGACAGCGGATGACAAGCACTGCCACACACGTACTCCCTTCCCAATGGGAAGGGGTTTTAGAAAAGGTCGGCCCCAAAATAACATACTCCCCCTGCCCCACGGTCTTCCGGTGCAGGCGGCGTGGGTCCTCTCTATATAGCGTTAGGACAACCAAACCCCAAAACAGCCCACAAAAGGCTGTGTGAGATGCCTCAAACCAATGTTCCCATGAGTCCTGTGGTCATAGGAATGTTTTTCGCTTTCAGGTACTTTGTGAAAAAACGGCCTTCAACGGTATGGGAAGCCGAAAAAGTATCAACCACCTCCACACTTCCAGTAGTACACGAAACCCATCCTCGTCAACTCTATTTCCCCCGTTGCCTTCACTTCCTAGTGCTCATATTAGGCCTCTTACACTATCCAATCTATCACTCTGCAACCATTGTCAACCATTGAGGCCATCGGAACCTCACTCGTAGTCTCCTAAAACCCCACCATTGATTTCATGTGGGAGCTTTCAATATCCAAACTCTATGCAAAATCGGACAGCAAGCATCACTCCCTAGAACTCTAGAATTTCTTGCGATGAATGTATTCTGTGTCTCTGAGACACGTATCCAGGACCCGAGTGTGATTATTACACGGAGCTCACTTGGTCCTAGTAGTGAATCTTCGAAATTGACCTTGAGTATCTGGAGATCTGATGGCTAGTTCTCATGAACTCGTTGGTGTAGGTATATCATTGAGTTGTAGAGCAGAAAGTGCGCTTGTCGAATGGATGCTAGTCAACAGTCGTGTGTGTTGTTTGATTAAGTGGATCTGTAAGAACTAGTAAGGATCGTTAGACTAGATGATGCCTATTCTCAGTCTCTGCGTTCGCACCCAACGACTTTAGTTCAGATGGTGCAAAGGATAAATTGTATGAGAAGTTATCAATGTTGTCACGAAGAACGAAACGTTCAGATGTAGTCATAATGGCAGGGGACTTTAATGCGGAAGCTGAGCCAGTCGGAGAGGTATCTTGGGGGTATTTACGGAATTCCGACAACGGTAATCGTCTGTTGCAACTTAGCCCCGATAATCACTTGTTTTTTACCAGCACTAACTTTAGGCATTAGGAGAGATACTGTCTCACACGACGTCCGCCGATATGAAACCAACGATGGACATAAATAGATCACATGACTATGAACCATTGCTGGAGAGGGTCGATGCAGGATAGTCACCCTTTCTGGACTACCAGTTTGAACTCCAGTCTCGGGCTGGCTGCTGGAAACAGGAGGCAGTGAGGTCCATGTGCTCGACTGATAGACCTAGACGCCGAGTACGCATTTAGAGAGGAGTCAGCTAAGCATTTATATGAACGTGACAGCAATGCTCATTCTGAGGAATGCTGACATGATACTAAGTCTACTCTGGAAACAGCTGTAAAGACAACTGGCAACCTACACCTGAAGGTCAGCAAACGTCATTGGATTTCTGCGACATCATCCGAACTTATTGGTGCGGAAAAACTGATTCCAACTGCCTTGACTACTCTGAAGACCGAAAGCAATGTAAACGTAAGTTGACCAAGAGTTCGCGTCGATCGCGAACAGTGGTGGGTGGCGAAAGCAAGAGAGATGGAAAAGGCATAAGTGGTGGGTAACACTCAGCAACTATTTAGGCTTATTAAAGATGTCGACAGGATGAGGACGATAGTGAGTGAAACCATCACCGAAAAGAATGGGTCGGTGATAGCATTCCAGGACAGACGGCTAGAACGTTGGGTAGAACACTTTAAAACAGTTCAACTAGCCCACAGCAACACTTCAGTAGCCCAACATCCAGCCTGAACGTGAGTGGGACGTAAGTGTCGGTTTTCGAACTCTCCTTGAAGTTGAGAAATGTGTATGGAACCTGAAATGATGCAAAGCGGCAGTACGTGACAGTTTGGCACCTGGAGTTTTCAAGGAATGAGATAGGAAATTTCTGACTAGATTGACGGATGTACTAGGTAGTATGTGAGGTAGTGCCGTTAGGTTGGTGTACTTCACTAATCGTTCTAGTCTATTAGAAGCGGGAAAAGTCTTCTCGTGACAATCAAAGAGGAGTTAGTTTGACTAATGTTGTGTTCTAGGTCCTAGAGTCCATGGTTATCCGACACTGGAGCTTAAGAACAGCAAACTCGAGAATATTATGTAGGTTTCAAGCTTGAACGAATGCTCATTGACCGTATTTTTGCCTTCCGACAGGTTCTGGAACATAGGCATACCTACTGGCCAGTAGCCTACACTTACCATAATTCTTGATCGCAAGGCGACATTTGATTCAGTCGACCATGAGATGTTTTGCTAGTGCCTGACTGTGAAAGAAGTTGCGAGCAAGCGTATGACGCTAATCATAGCTGTCTACTCGAACTCAGGCAGCCGTTTAAGGGCTTATGGAGAATTTTCATGTGAATTGACGACAACCGGTGGTGTTCACTAGGGATGCCCGCTGTCACCGTCCTTATTTAACTTTGGCGTACATGTGCTAATAGACATAACTTCAGGTAGGTCTGACTTCCCTGGAGCTAACCTGGTTGACTTGGAATGGACAGATGACATTGTCCTGCAGGGTGAAGACGCTAACAAAATGCAGGGTCTTGTAAACGCGTTGAACAGAAATCTGGGTATATTTGGCATGCTTTTCGTTGTCACCTGTCAAATATAAAATAATGCTCCAGGACTGGTGTACTGCAAGTACTCTTAGTTGAATGATAAAGTGAGGTAGTGGGATGTGTCGACCACTTCATTTACTTGGGGAGTTGCATCAGTGGAAGCGGTGTGGTTGCTGTTGAAACCTCTGAAAGGATACAGAAGGCCCGTTCAACATTTGCCAACTTGCGTCATCCGTGGCGCCAAATGGCGAAATATCCAACTATCTACCAAATTACGAGTATACTGCTCTGCAATCCGTTCTGTCGTGTTGTAAAGCTGTGAGGTGTGACCGTTGAGAGCACAAGACACAAAGCGACCACTGGGTTTTGATTTTAGTTGCCTTCGTAGCATTGCCCTCGTACGTGCGAATCACCGCGTCAGCAATGTTGAGGTCAGGCGAAAGGTACTAGGCAAGTTGATTGATAAGGTTGTGGACCGTAGTCGATTGAGATGGCTTGAATATATACTGCGCATACCAAGCAACCCCCTACCTCGACGTGACATGCTAGCAAAGGTTGGAAGCAGGTTCAGGATGGCCAGACTATGATGTGACACCAGTTGATGAAGTCACTGACTGTTGGTCTGAGCCACGCGTGTAGATGTAGACTGCCTGGTTAGGGGCTTTCTCGAGACGGAAAAAATTAGTGGTTGAGGATTCTTGGTGACATGGCTGAAAATCGGCCACAATGGCGCAGATATGTTCACTCTTTGACGTCTCGTAGAGCTTGAATATTTGCACTAACCATTATTTTCAGATTGTTTATTCTCCCACACAACTTTGTTTACTGTGATATCATTCTTTTTCCATGCAGTTGTTCTTTGTATACTACTGTGAAGTTTGGCAGCCTGAGCCGATGAGCCTGTGTGCGAGGTTTAATGTTGGTTTTATCTGTCAGTCAACTTGGGAAATCATTCTATTGAGATATCTTATTAGTTGATTTCATCGAACATCCAGTCGAGACTTAGTTATTTACAGATCACACTTGAAATCCCATGAGAAAACTAACTGTCAAATTCCTGACTGTTCAGAGAAGTCACCAGATCGTTTGCACGAACTCAACTGATGTGTTGCTGATGTATCCTGAAATCAATATCCATAACAAAGCTCAGATAAACCAGAGTTTTATCTAGTGAATTCTGCTCCGTAAACTATCACAGTTTCTGAAAACTAGGTAGACCCAGTTATTCTAGTGCACCTAAGTCCACGTCATATTTCTGTGCTGATTTAATACATAAAGGAGTGGGGCGAACCATCCTAAATTGCTATGAAGCCAGTTTTATTACAAAGGTTAACTATTCTGGTTGTTTTTTAAGGAGGAATATTTGTTTTCTAACATTGTGTTATGCATTCCTTATCCATTACAACACTGTTGTAGAAGTCATAGTTTCTTCTGTATGTTAATTATTGAGCGCAGATCTTCAAAACATAAAAGTTCATATAAGTCTGTCAAGACGAAATGAAGTGAACGTTTTCTGAGTGCAAATCATGTGCTTTTTACTTGCTATTTCATATGTACTTTTATATATCAAACTGCCAGGTCTCACTGTATTCCTTTAATGTTTCTTTTCAATATATTGTATATTTCTTTTCTGCAAAGTTATCATTTGCTTTTATGCTTAAACTTTTAATACTATTAGGTAGCTCAGAAAAAAGGTTTGCCACACGTTTTTTACTGTCAACTTTGGCGTTGGCCAGATCTACATACTCAACATGAGTTACGCCCTATCGCTACTTGTGAATATTCCTTCCAGTCCAAGCGTGACGAAGTTTGTATAAACCCTTATCACTATAGGAGAATCGAAAATCCAGGTTTGTACAAATTCTTGCATTTATGTTCATATTATTGTCTACATGATGCTATATGTATGTCTTACACTACTCCACTTACAGAAGTTTGGACAGTAGCCATGTAGTATTATTAACTCTTACACTATGTGTGACCCGTTTCCTACTAAATGAATGTGCACAGGGTTGCTGAGTGACTTCGTTTCGATTTGATATATACGTATAAACAGCATGGTTAGCTAGAAAGTAGCCGGTTAAATGTTCTCATGCATATTTATTAATTGGAAGGTATGTGGTTTAGCTTTCGGTGTTAGATATTTAAAGGTGATTGTTGGAGGCTTCTATATCTAGTTTCTACTTTCATCAGCAAGGTTTACATACAACATAGAGTAGGACCGTGCTCCATCTGAGATTGAAATTTGCACCGTTCAGCAAAACCGTCAGAGTTGTAGCTACACACTAACTTTTGATTCAGTCGGACACAAAATTAAACCTCTAAGTCGGTCTAGTTGTGACCCATTGCTGTGATTACTCAACTTCCAACCAGTCGGTCACCCGGTCTAACCCCGTTCCTCCTATCGAGCTTTAAGGAGCCAGGTAGTATCATTATTCTTCACATAATAGGTGTAATTCGTCGCCAACTGTGCGAAGGTGCACATGGTTTCTGAATGCATTTTGACTTCTGAAACATTTAGAACTAATTACAGTTTTTAATTTTCTGATTTTGATAACCATATTGTACAAATTTTTCAAAGCACGTGATATAAAATAATATCCTTAACTAAAGGTGATAAGTAGACAGTATGCCAGTTTTTAGGTGCAGAAAATTGAGAAATTGTGGTTCTTTACTTTTCGATTCATTGAAGCAACTAATAAAGCTAGTATCATATCTGTCTCATTACATAGCCGCAAAACACTCATTGAAATCGGGGGACATGAGAAGAATTCAGGTATTTGACCACTCATTTACGTAGCGTCTCTCATGTACACTAGAATCTTCGCATGAGTCACTTTGAGATTGGGATTAGTCTTGATCAGAGACCCTTAGTCGTTTGATAAGCTTGTAAATAGTCACTGATTGAGCTGATTAGGATATGTGGTAGGCACTTTAAGTCACTACATACCTCAATAAGAAATAGCCCTATAATGGAATAAACTAAAAGCATCTAGTTTAGGACATAGCACTAATGCCCGAGGTCTATGATTATTTTTCTGAACATTGTAGGAAAATGTCGACTTCCAAGTTAAAGTCTATATGAAAACTGACACAGCTGCTTAATGACTCATGATAGGTTCATCCACGCTTTATTCTCATTTTTGTCATTGTGCCTCATTCCGTTATTTGCTTTAACCCAACCTTTCATTTCATAGATTTCTACTAATTTCGACTGTTATTTCCCGTTATTTTTTCCCAGCTTTTTGCCTGGTATCTTTGTGTTTTGATGTAGGGTGTAGGAGTTTGAACTGTTACATAGAGAAGGAAGGTATGTTATCTGTTGGTAGGTATTACATCATCTGGAAACAGGTAATGGTTTGCCTAACGTATATCATAGTCATCACCAGCTTTCTGTCATGCACCAATACAAATAACAGGTTTTTCTACATGAAATCTTAGAAGCTTTAATCTTCAAATGAGTCGAAATTCACTCATCAACCATTTGCATGTTTATGTAGTTGTGCGAGAGTTCACCATACTACCCGATTGCCCAGACCAAAACAGGTTCCATGTATGATTGCAGTTTTTTGAGAGTAATTTAACTAGAGTTCAATAAAAAAATTTGATGCTGATAGAAAATAAGTTTAGTCTTGTGTATGAGTGAAAAGATTGTCACAGGGACTCAGCTATTCATAAGTTTGTTGAAGCCGATCTGAAAAATGAATCACAGAACATATTTTTAATGTGATGAAGTTTTCGCCTTAATCACTACGCTTGTGAGAGCTGTACACTTGCTTGCACATAAAATGATGCTATTCGGAGTAAACGAACATTTCATTAGTTGTTATGTGATCAAATGGTGTCCACAGTCTCCGAGAATCAAGAAAACAAGTTATTCCCTATGCCACTTGGGAAGCTATTTGAATTGATGTAAACTGACTCCTGCATTTAGTCCTTATGAACAATGATAAGTATTCAATGCATCTGTCTTTTAGAAAAAAAACAACTAAAATATGTAACTAATGTTTCGTGCAGTGTCCCTCCTAAGAATTTTACTGTATTTTTTGTAGATATGTTGGTAAATGTAGGTATGTTATATAAGTGCTAACCCATTTTGTTAACACAGAAGGAAAACTGAAGTCCAATAGGCCGTCGATATTTGCCAACTGGAGGTAAACTGTTTGGTGAAATCTCATTTTTTAAGTCTTAATATTTCTCTGGAGTACCTAAAGATCTATTCGACATGCCTCTGTAACTGGCTTTTGTTTTCATCGAAATTATTCCAATTTTCGTTGTGGTTGGCTTATTTCACTTTACTATTATTATTATTACCATTATTATTATTATTATTATTATTATTATTATTATTATTATTATTATTACTAGTCCTTTGGGTTCCTCATGGAACATAGGGCTTCAGCAGCACGTCTCCAGTGACCTCTGTTCTCTGAGATCTTTTGAACCTGGCTCCACGACAGCCCACAAGCCCTCATTTCCTCCTCGCACGATCTCCTCCATATCACCCTCGGACGCCCAACTCGTCGCTTCCCATGGGGGTTCCACTCAAGGGACTGGCCTGACGCGTGATGTCCCCAGTCGGCTTTCTCAGTGCATGCCCAATCCATCTCCACTTCCTTCCAGTGCATATTTGTTGAGTGATAGGTTCTTGGTTGGTTCGTTCCCAGAGCTCCTTGTTGCTTATTCTTGTTATTCTGGCCATCTGATCTTCAGTATTGAGCCAGCGTAGGGGGCAGTTGTTGATGAATGTCTGTAGTTTATTGGAAATGCCTTTCGTGACGCGCCAAGTCTCTGAACCATACAGAAGCACTGACTTGACTGGGTTGGTGTTGAAAATCCGGATGTTGTTCCACATGCTGAGTGCAGTGGGGAAGATCTCCACACTGGTTTCAGGCTAATGAACGCCTGTCTTGCTTTCCGATTCTGACTTTGACGTGTTCGTCGGTGCTTCCTGTAGTTGAAACAGTGCTGCCTAGATTAGTGAAGGAGGTTACTTCCTTTAAGTTTCTCCCGTTCATGGTGATTGGGGTTTGTTGTTGTTGTTGATGGTGGTGGTGCGGTATCTTCATCACTTCTGTCTTCTCTATATTCACCTGAAGTCCCGTCTTCGCTGCCTCTTCTGCCAACTTGTTAGTTTTTGCCTGTAGATCTTCAAGTTAATGTGACATCAGGCACAAGTCATCGGCGAAATCCAGATCTTCTAGGTTCTTTTCCACAGTCCAGCCAGCGTATCCCCCTCTTCTCGCTCCCCACTGTTGTCTGCTGCATGATCCAGTCCACTCGACCACAATCAGGAAGATCATGGGTGATAGTAGGCAACCTTGTTTCACTCCTGTCTTCACTTCCACTCAAAGGTATCACTGAGTTTCCCATTGTGAATTACTTGGCTGGCATGTGGCGTCTTCATATAGTTGTTGAATGAGGCTGATAAGGGTTTGCGGTATTGCGTAGTATTGAAGCAGTTTCCAAATTACCTCTCGGTCGACGCTGTCAAAGGCCTTCTCAAAGTCGATGAAGTTGAGGTGAGGTACAGTTGAGTTGACTACCATTCGGTAGTTTGTTTTATGATGATGTGAAGCGTTGCAATTTGGTCTGCACATGATTTGTACTTCCTGAATCCAGCCAGCCTGTTGCGGTCTTAGTTTTGAATCTAGCGCATCCTTAAGCCTCTCCAGGATGATGCGGGCTTAATATTTTGCTTGGAGTGGACAGGAGAGTGATTCCGCGCCAGTTCTTGCAAAGACTTAGGTTACCCTTCTTCGTCAGTTTGACAAGGTAACCCGTCTTCCAATCAATTGGCAGGTACCTTCTCTTCCTTCCACACCTTTTGCAATAGTGGTGTGAGCATGTCCGCTGTTGTCTCTGTGTCTGTTCTCAGTGCTTCTGGCGGTATTCCATCTGGTCCTGCTGCTTTCCCACATTTCAGTAGCTTTATGCCGTTCAGGACTTCCATTTTTGTTGGAGGACTTATGTTCACTTGTAGTTCAGCTACTGTAGGTGGTATTTCTGGACGAAGTGCAGGTGGTGGTCGACTCAAGAGCTTCTTGAAGTGGTCAGCCCATTGTTTCCTTTGTTTCTGTTCTTTGGTAATTAAATTTCCTCCATCATATTTTATTGGTTTAAACTGTGTTGGTCTCTCCTCCCCAGATACCAACCTGGTTATTTGATACAATGTTGTCAGGTCTCTGTCTCTTCTACCAGCAGCCTGTTCTGCTTCATTTGACAGTGTTTCGTAGAAGTGTCTTTTGTCTTTCCGTGCACTCTTCTTCACTTCTTTGTCCTGTGAAGTGTTTTATACATTGTACTCAGTTCCTCTTGTCGTTGTTCATCCTTGCACTGGTTTATCTTCTGCTTCACCATCCTCCTCTCCCTTCTCTATCAGCTTCCATGTATCCGTCGAGATCCATTCCCTGTCCTGTCTTCTTTCTTCTTCCTTCCTAATACGGCTATGCAGGTTTCTTTCCATGTAGCTTTCAAAGACTTCTAGTGTTCTTCCACATAGGTTTCTTCAGGGACATTCCTCGATATCTCCTATTTTGTCTTGATGGCTGACCGACGTGAAGATTTCCTTTGTAGTTTCATCCTTCAGTTTCCGAGTGTTGTACTTGAATTGAGGTCTATCACCAGCTTCCTTGAAGGCTTTTAACTTGATTTGGAAGGTTCCTTGCACTAGACAGTGATTGGTGTGAACCTACATCTGCTCCTCTTCTTGACCTTGTGTCAAGTAGACTGCATCTCCATTTTCTTGAGATTGAGATAAAGTCGATCTGGTTTTTAGTGTAGAGTGTCCTGGTGTCTGGTGAAATCCATGTCACTTTGTGGATATCCTTATGCTTGAACACACTGCCTGGCCTCCAATCACCAAATCGTTGAATGCACAGAATTCTGCAGACACTTCTGCATTCTCATTCATCACCTCACCGAGCGCTTCTCGACCCATGGTTAGTTCCCTTCCTGTGTTGTCTGCTCCCAGTTTGGCATTCATGTCACCCCACCAATTAGAATTTTGATATCGCCAACTGAGGCTGTTTCTTGTCCAGTCTTGATTGAAGTTGTCTGTAGAATTCCTCCTTTTTCTCTTGCTCTGCATTATTTGTAGATGCTTAGTGCACCAATGTATGATTTTGACCTTTCTTCCTTTTGAGTTGAACCTTGCTGTCATGATACTGGAGGAGGAGATTGGTTCCCACTGCATGAGAGAGAGCCTTCGATGCTGTTGGGGACATCATGACAGCCACTGCAAAACTCAGTGAGCTCGTGGTTGTCGTCTGGGTGACAATGTTGGAGTAGATTATTGACTCCTCTCCAGTTGACAATTTGGAAAGTCCACTTCCATTCCATCTGCTTTCACAAATTCCTAGTACTTCAATGCGATACCTTCTCATCTCCTTTGCAATCTGGGCTGCCTTACTGGGTTCAAACATCGTGCAGACATTCCATGTCCCCACGTTTACTTTCGCTTTCATCGAGAGAGGGGAGACACATCAGCCAATGGGCTTCGTGAAGATTTTTACCAACTGGCGTCATTTCGTCTCTCCGATTCCAGCGAGGAATAATATTGTTATTATTTTTTATATTTTGTTTGTGGTTTGAAGTTTGTTTAGCGGTTAGATTTGTTTTCCGGTGTAGGGTTGCTAGCCCTATGCCCAACCTTCCCTCTTTACCCGGGCTTAGGACCGGTTAGTAACTAGTGAACTAGTTAACCAGGCGAGGTTTTTCGCAGTATGATACATACCCGTCATTTGAACGGATATTTATACATTGGTTTTTCAGAAGAGAACAGAATACACATCTAGGCTTTTTAAAACCAGGACGGTATACAGTCTCATCCTGTGGCGCAACCACACGGGTGCCTTCACCCCGGTGGACTAACGAGATTTCACTTTGCTAAACGGTTATTTATATGGTTGTAATCAATCACTACATTATGAAGACAGCTACTTCTTCATTAGGCCATACATCTCAAGTTAAAAAACATCGTTGGTTCCACCTGATAACTAGTATTTTGTCCTACTTGACAATATATAGGACATAGCCAAGCTAATGAGTTTTTACACAGTAAAATGACATTATTTACTGGAGAATTATCCTATTTTTTAGTCAAGTGTCCACATGTCACAGTAAGACAGTATCAAACTTCCCTGTTTTGAAATCGTTAAATAATCAATCGCAAAATGTCACTAATTATCATAATTTCGAACATTTAACTACTTGGAGTTTGAATGTGTGTTAACTCAGTCAAGCTTGTACATACCATTAAATAACCAAATTCAGGTTGTTACGACAGTGTTTACACTTGGAGATTAAGAGAAGAATATAAAAACGAGCAAAAGCAAATATCATGGAGGCTTTAGCTGTCTGTGTTTAACGAAAGACTTCTTTATTTCGGATAATCTAGTAATATTTGTTCTATGAACAACATAATATTTATTTAGCATACTGTTATGCTAAAAGAAGTTGGGCGCCTAGTCAGGCTTATCCACTATATAGTACTGTCACACTATTTGATGCAAAAATCTGTACGAAGACAGTCGTCTTGTTATTTCAAAAGGTTTTAAAGTAAATAGAGGTTTAAATAAATCGCGGATGAATTTATTGTGATGTGATTTCTGTTGCATATTTTTGTGTGGTTTTCATTGTTTATCTGTATTTTCAAGATTTTTTAATACCAACTAGCTATTTATCTTTGTTTTGTTCGATGCTTAATTGTTTGTTGACCATTAAAAATTAGGATTCCATTCCCCTTCGAATAAGTTGGTTTGTTTTTGTCTGTATACTTTGATCGTCGTCTGTTTTTGCTCCTTTCTACCGACAAACTTTTCAATGGGAACATGTGTATTGTTCGCTCATTTATTGGGGGGAATGCTACTACTCAAGACGATCAACCAAATTCAATATTTCAGCACTTCATTAAAAAGAGCCGGAACTCATTATGTCGTTGTTTTTAACAATAAGGTTGGTGCCGAATATACCTTTCTAACGAGTGCCAATAAATAAGAGATCTAGTAGAAGAAGCCTATCCGCTAATTGATCCGAAAAATCTGACGCCTAATAACAACATTACCATTGTGTAGAACTAGTGATTAAACGTAGCTATTTGACTGGAATCACCTTTAAACCATTTCACCAAACACTTCTAACCATAGGCTTATCTCACTATGGTGACTGGGGAGTAAAAACCATGATTCCACTGTCTACGGAATAGGTCAACGAATTCATGTCTTCGTTTGATTACCTTTGTAGTTAGGAAGACTGGTGGGAACACAAACTACACAGTCTACGGGTTAGAGTTTAGTCAACCTCATTAATTACTCCACCTTCTGAAATCAATGGTCTAGGTTATTCAATAGTCATTCAGCATATCAACACATATAATCTTCATGTACCGTCTATTTTAACCAACCACGTCTCAAAGGCGTTTGTTAAAGCAAGTCCAACTCCTTTGGATTAAATTTATCCCCTTGAAGTATTTACCCCGAGAAGGAGTGTAAGTTAGGATATGTCAGTCAAACCTTCAGCATCGATAAGGCGATTTTTATAGAACTAGAGTAACTTCCAGAAAATAGTGATGCAGTCGCTACTTCTGATTATTTCGCCTTCTTCCTTTAGAGTAAGTCGATTTTTATATATACTTTCCAAAGTAAAATTAAGTTTTTGGTAAATCATAAAAATGATGATTTTGGTTATTACCTGTGCATTCATGTTAGATAGTTATCAGGAGTGCAAAACTCAAAAATATTCAGTATTTTAACGATAAAAAATTATTATTCATTCATATTTCATTTTATACTGTTTATAAATTTCTGTGTTTAGTTCTTCCACCAATTATGGTTCCACGTACGGTTAATAATGGTACCTCCGGAAATAATAATGATAGTGTACATCGTGGTATGACGGAGCCTTCTGAACGGTATGGCAGAGGGTCGTGTTTCGGGTCGCACCATTCTCGGTATTCTTCGATGCATAGTCAGTATCAACATGGTCTTCAACAACAGCAACAGCAACACCATTTGAACGCTTTGCAAGCTCATCATGCTTCCGTTACCGGATTAAATGATTCTATGATGGTTGGAGATGATTGTGGTTCAGAACCGAATAGCTTAGCTGCCTTATTAGCGCCTCCATCTAAACAACCCAGACAACATCTTGCCACAGATGCTGTGACAGCTGCTGCTCTAGCCAGAGGCGATGCACTCGATGCATATTCTATAGCCAGTAGAGCGATGGCTAGTCTAGAAAATGCCGGTGTTATTAGTGGCACACATCCACCATGTGTTAGCTTGCGAGAGGTAAATACACGTTTGTATATTTCTTGGTTTCCGTCAGATTCTTGATATATATAGATTAACTGTTCTATTCATTTAAAGCATTTTCAACTTGGATTTCGTACTATGACCGACAAGAATACTGTTACCCAAACACAGGTATAGACATCCAGGTGTTGCAAATAAAGAGCATTGGCAATTAGAATTTAATTTTTGCACCTACACTTACAGCTGTCTATTCCACTACAGTTGCTGAAGAAACTTAATTGCTAACATGGGAATTGCGGTGTTTAACCTTGCTAACAGGTCATGATTGGTGAGATTGGTTTCATTAGCTTAGCCACTCGACTTCCAGACAATGGTCCTCGGGTTCAAACCCTGCTTTACCAACTCTGACCTAGGCAACCACTTTGTATTATAAGCCACCACACAACAATTGTAACTCATGACTTGGTGAATAAAGATGTGTGTAGGTAGGTTGCGTTAATTGATCATGATTTTAGAGCAGGAATTTCAGCGAATATATCTTATTGATTTCGTTGTCAAAATTCTACTGTTGTAAATAAAGATTTAATTTTCGGTACTGAAGCACTATACACTTCTTATTCAAAAATTTATACACCAAAAAGAACGATTGGGGACAAAATAATATGAATTTATCAGTTTCCTGCATTTTCTTCAGCCCATTTAGATCCTATAACTTAATGTGTGGGATTTGGAAAAAACAAGATATGCATCCTGCTTTCTTAAAGTTCACAAGTATTTATCGCTTAAGATCAAAAGTTGCTTTACACGTATATTATAACCCATCTCAATCAATGCATTTGTGTAAAATTTATAAAAGTATTTTGTATATTTCGTTCTTCATCGTATCTTTCCGCGCTACATGTTGTGACCGATAGAAAAGAAACCCTGCATGTGGGAATATAATTGCAGTGGATTTCAGATAAGTCAGTCAACATCAATATGAAACCTGTTATTGTTACACGTCCCAAGTCGTCACACTTCATTTCAGAATTAAAACAACCAGGTAAAAAGTCAAGCGACGAAAAATGAAAATAATAACTTGGCGTTAGATAAAGGTTAGAAAATAACGTTACGTGAATCGATGAAATTTCTGACCGTTGGTCTAAACCGTGTTTAGAGATTTAAACGTAGTGCTCGGTGTTCAAATGACAGCCAAAATCGATGGCCTGTGAATCTCATCAGTGACTCGATCGACATTTTTTACACTAATACATCCATACATTATCTTCAGCGTAATTGACATAATGGTTTTCATTCTTTGCTTTATCATTTTTGTAATTAGTTGGTATGGCTTTCGACTAGATTTTTTCTTTACATTTCTCCGTCTTTCATCTTGATGTGCTTATGTGAAATGTAGGAATTGGGACTGTCACGCAGTAATATCACGCCCCTCGCTGATATTGAAAATGCCGGGAACAAAGAGTAGTTGGTAGCCGATTCAACTGTTCCTCATAATGTTCTGCTAATAGTCCTAGTTGTCTACTTTACAAGGGGATCTCAGTCCCATCTTTTTGTGCTATAATCCAGCTACTAGCCAACTTCTCGCCCAAGTTTTCTTAATAAGTCCCAATAATTGTCTCCAGTTGCTTATAGTCACTGCCTTCCCCATCTCTTTAGTATCTTACTGCACATAACTGTTCATGGCCATCACATACATTCCATGTCAGTTTACATTTAAGATACTTCATCTCATTGTGGTTGAAGCCCGCAAGAGTGCCTTCATCTCTTTCCATGAAGCTGTCGAAACTCACCAACCCTTCCTGATATTTTCCTTGATGTCATTTACTGTCTTTACCACTGTTTCACAGGAGACTAAAAAATAGTGTATACACAGCAAAGCCCCTGTAAACAATTCCATGCTGTTTCTCTTGTAGTCACCAACCGTCGATTTAAGTTGTTTGAAGTACAAACTGCCTCACACTGGAGCTGATGCCCCATTGATCCAAGAAGTTACTTTTGGACCAGTAGGTCACGGGTTCGAATTCCCCTCCACCTACCAAGGTCTTGGCAGTCAATTAGCATCAGCAGTTCTCACAGTAAATGTGACTCATTGTCTAGTGCGTAACCATGCACGTAGCTCCTAAGAGAGTTCACGTGGCAACTTCTTTCCCATATAGACATGTTCGATCCTGACTGTGGTAGTTTTTCTCATAAGTTTGCAGCATGAAATACCTCTTAAATTGATCTCTCTGTGCAGTTTTCCTGAATGTTTGTCACCGAAAAGGATTTGGTCGACTGGACTACATGCCACACTAGTACAAGTTATGTTAGTCATACTCACTAATCATATATTATTAGCATCATTTAGAAGGAATTACATGTGTTGTATTGAAATCATGTCTTTACAATCTAAGTTGTTGATCATTCGAAATTCACTGCTCATATTGCTTCACAGCTGAATATCATATGTGATATTTGTTTGTTTCTGTAAAATTTGATAATGTGTCCGACGGTAATTATGTATGTGTAACCTATTAGTGAACATTATGATCAATGATCTAGTTCTATTCACGCCAACTAAACTTAATCTTCGGTAACTTATAACAACATGATGTTGTCATTTGATTTTAATAGGCATTAATGGATAATATGCGGTTAGTGTATCAATGCTTGCATGCACAGAAGCAGCGTTTGCTTATAAACTAATCGAGGTAGTGTACTGGGGAAGCACCACTGTTAAATATTTTTAAAGTTCCATGACGTCTTTTAGAGTTTCATATTTTTCTAACACTAAAAAACGTATTACCGGAAATGAATTGATTAGCTCCTCAGTTCACAAGATACTTCGATGCAGAGGTATGACTCATCGAACTAAGGACTCGATTTTGAACCTTAGGATCGCGTGCTGGAATTCCTTCCGAATTTCCAGGTTTGAACAGCCAGATAGCATAATTAGCTTTTTCACAAGAGGAGTGATTCGCTACCGATCGCAAGAACCTGTATCTGTTTGTTGGGTTGTCACTATTACTATTTATTATTAGGTATTTAAATTCTATTTCCAAATCTTGACCCGAATGTCGTTGTACTTTGGAAAAAAATTTATGTCCTGATACCTGTGATAGACTTTTTTGTCCACTGACATTTTCTAGGTGTTTGTCACGCTAATTTCAATTTGGTTGAGTCATACGACTAAAATCTGAAGATCGGTGATTCAATATTCGATCATAATGACTCAATATGCACAGAGATGGCTTGTGCATGTACTGCGCATACCGAACCACCCCCTACCTAGAAGTTTGGAAGCGGATTTAAGATGACCAAACCATAATGTGACACCAGTTGATGAAGTCACTGACTGTCGGTCTGAGCCACGCGTGTAGATGTAGACTGCCTGGTTGGGGGCGTTCTCGAGACGGAAAAAATTAGTGGTTGAGGATTCTTGGTGACATGGCTGAAAATCGGCCACAATGGCGCAGATGTGTTCACTCTTTGACGTCTCGTAGAGCTTGAATATTTGCACTAACCATTATTTTCAGATTGTTTATTCTCCCACACAACTTTGTTTACTGTGATATCATTCTTTTTCCATCTAGCTGTTCTTTGTATACTACTGTGAAGTTTGGCAACCTGAGCGGATGAGCCTATGTGTCAGGTTTTGCGTTAACTTTATCTGCCTGCTCTGCAGTCGTAGTAACTGAAAAATGCCTATATGTTATGGCTGTTTAAAGTATTCACTCAACATTAAATCATCAGTAGCTTGTATTTTCTAAGGTTTGGGACGCTAGATAGTATCATCAATTCCCTACACAATAGACGTAGCTTTCACCCTGGAAAGGAAACTTACGCATAACTAATTAGCATTGTGTGCTTTCGGAAAATATTCTTAGATATGTTTTGTCGATTATCTTGTTTGTTTGCTGGAAATAATTTTACTATGTGATTCATTTCTCATTTTATTGTATACAGGCTGCAGAAAATATGACGCTTGGTGGAACACCTAATATTGTTGGAACGCCTCCTGCCCCACCTCATACCGGTAGCTATCAGTCATCCCTTATGAATGTGGTCTCTAGTTTAAGTGGTGACGGCCGGGATTTTGCTCGCAGTTTAGGTGTGGTTAATAACATGCATAATGCTACGACGAGGTTTGTGATATTTTTTGTATTTTCAAGTATCTTTTTATTATGTGTAGTAATATTGGGTATTAATTAATGTGCCTATTCTTGCATTCATTATGAAGATGTTTATTTCGATAAATGTATGAATTATTTCTTGTTTTAATTCCTAATCCTTTTACTGTTTATTTACGAGCAAATCATCGCTTTGTTTTTGAGCCGAAAAATAGTTTTGAATAGGTGATAGGCATCGCAACAGACTGCTCTACACTTGCAGTAATCACTAAAATCCGTCAATAAGGGTGTGTATAGAAATCAATCCAGCAACTGCACAGACAGTTTTGGAGCAACTCAAGATAGGCTCTGGTATATCTACTTGATGCTCAAGGAAAACCTGTTTCTGGTCAAAATAACGGGATCTAATTTTGCTTGTTTCATTTAGAATATGTTCAGTTGCTTAGCTTATACTGCGATGTTAACACGAGTGTAAGATGGCTAGCCATGATAAATGTAATTGCCAAAGTGGCTTTCAATATCACTCATTTATTCTGCTTTCAAATGTGGCCATCTTTTTAAAGGCTACGCCCATGGTGTTCAGGATCAGTAGTGAAAGCATCAACTTTACACAGTTTAAAGAGCTTATCGCTGCCAAATTCGTCCACATACGTCATAAATCGTTACCAGCATTATTTCATGTACGTGTATCAACTTGACCTGGGACTTATTCGTTTCGGTTTTTTTTTTTGAATGAACTAAGAGTGAAATCATCCAAGCAAATGTGGCCCATTTATTTGGGAATCCAAAAAATGCTGATTATATTAGTATAAGCAGCATAGAAGAGTTCATTAAATGGATAGCTTAGTTCGGATAGCATATATAATGGTGTTTTATGTCTGAAACTATACATATTCCAGTTTGGGAATTTTCTAAATCATTTCCAGGATATTTTAATATCGACAGTTTAAACGGTTGCCGCATTTATATTTTTACACGCTTGGCTAGATTAATTCAACCATTACAAACTTTACTCCTGATTAAATACTACCTTTTTGAAGTGGTTTGATCTGAATATTGAGATAATCTAACTAGGTTGCATTTCCTAACCTATTTATTTACTGAAATTTTATCATTCTAGGAAGGTCAGTCAGATGATATCTTGAGTAAATAATTCCTGTCAACTGTAGTAATTGTACTGCTGATAGCAGTGTGTTCTCCAAAGGTAGCCAGCACTTTCAGCGAATTCGTCTTGTTTTATTGTGTTTCGCTTCTGGCACTAGTGGTTTAGAAAGGCGAGCGTCCAAAGCTAGGATCAATCACCGTCAAATTTAATGTGTAGATAATTTAGGGAAATGTAGGCTTTCTGTCTGGGGCCGTCAAGATGATAGTTATCAATGAATGAACATTTGTTTGATAGTAGCAAATGATGATAGGCGTCTGTTTGATACTTTAATTCAGTCATTTTGAATGTATTGAATTATAAGTATTATGATTGAAAAATTGTGTATCCCCTTAGCTTTCTCTGCATCTGCTTGGTGATTTTTCTTCTTTTTTTTCGACCATATTTTAACATAAATATGCTGTAATTTATTAGGTCGCTCAGTTTAAGTGATTATTCACTCTCCGGTTCCGTCTGTCAAGAGGATCGTTCCATTGATTCCCAGTGTCATGGTCAGAATGCAGATACCTTAGGCACAAGTTTTATCGGTCAGTCCTCTTCAGTCTCCTCCTCATCGACAACAACTCATAAAGCTTCAAGTGTTGCCGGTGCTGGACCGTCTGTAAACTCTCCTGGTACACTCTCATCAGTGGAAGAAAACTGTATTAGCGAGGATGATAATATGGATCTGGGTGAGTAACTATATGTGTCATGGTGTTTCTTTGTAATATAAACCATTAATCAGAAAATATGAAGGATATAAAACTTGGGTGTATAGCTTCAGTTCAGATTATCATACATTACGACACTGAACTAGAAGTCAACAAGAAAAAAACATGAAAATAAAAACACCATCAGTCTAAGGAAACGTTATACAAGAAGTGGATAACAATGTCATTTTATCACGATTTAAATGAAAATAAAGCTTAGATTTATCTACACTCATCGATTCCGAGTTATATCAAATGAAGTCCTCAGCCACCAGTTTCATTTGTTTCTTAGACACCAACCCGGAAGCCATCTTCCTATTCTATTGAGTCCAACAGTAAGAGACTTGATAGGTTAGTGGTTTTTCTTGATTTAATCACCCTTAGCGTTTTTCTAACCTTATCCTCCTTCAGTGTTGTGATCGGTAGTGAGTCACTCATTATGTATATCTCAATCATCTCAATTGATGAAACTTCACTATCTCGCTAACTGACTGTTAGTCTTCACCTAAGAGTAACCTCAAATGCTATACACTGCTTGTATTCTAGTCCCACAATAGCACGAGACCAATAATATAAGGGTAGTGATGGTCAACTTTTTTACCACTAATAGCCATGTTTCCCATCCGTAGGATGAAACAGTGTGGACTTTCATGCTGCTCATCCACCCCTTGATATATATTGAGCACCGCAGATGGCGTAAATTTGAGTGTTAATCGCTCGTTTGTTTGCCGTGATTCGATTTCATCGTAGATTTCATCTATCATAGAGAATGCAGCTTTTTGGGTAGATGACCAATGCACTCAGTCACTTCACTCTCGGATTTTTAATCAGATTATAGTTATCCAAGCTAAGTTGGGATTTAATGGTTTAAAACCATTTGGGGGTTCTTTAATTAATGGTGCATTTCACTCTCCATTAATTAGCTTTCTCTAACTTCAGTTACTCCAGTCTGTCCACCCAGGTTGTACCACTAGACATCATGAAATAAGCATAAATGATAGCAGTTCGTGCTTGTTGCTGAGTCAGATTTCTTACTTGATTTTCGTATGCCACAGTTCTTAACTTTATAAAGGCCTTACAAGTAGGTAATGTAATTGGTTATGTCTATTTTTTTGAAGTATTCAGTGAACAACTTTTATTTCTCACCCTTAAAATGCAGGAGTATTGATAATAATTAACTGTTGTTCTGTAGTGAATAACATTTTTAATTACCTCGTTTAATTTTTTCATACTGTTTCTCACTCACCTGTATCCATCTAAACAATACAAGCAACGTCATATCGTTTCCTCTTAAATTTTTAGCTGACTGTTGTCATTACTACTATCATCAAAGTCACTCCTCACATATCACACGTTTAGTTAAATAACTAATGAGGGGATAGTCTTTGTTGACAGATTTTGTGTGTTGAGATAAGGGTGGTACTGTCGGTGAATAAATATCCCAATGATGTTTTTCCATCATTGGTTTTACTTGAGTAAGAATCTATAGTAGTTCAAGTAACACGTAATCTTATGTGAATGCGTTGGTGTGTGTGTGTGTGTTTATCTGAGCCTAAAGTGTTTTCTCGTATGTGGGAATAATCGTTGGGCGGGGGCGATTTTATAGCCCTTCCACATTTTATCAGACACAGTGGTTTCATCAGTTTGAACACCAAATAAACTAAATTTCCTCTGTGTGTGTGTGAACGAAAAGTGGATAAAACTATATTAATGCAAATCCAAGTATAAATTTGTTGTAAATTATTTTAGGCAGTAGCTTTTTATAGGTGGAAATATGAACTTCACATAAAACTGTATAACACATTCTACTAAACTCTATGGGCTAATAGTTAAATAATAAATAGTTTAATGAGGTTTTAAGTGATTGTTGCTAACTCCTTTTAAGATTTTATGCAATGTAGGAAAATCAAGGTGATTGCTAGATTATGAATTGAGTACTAAATATTGCGATCTTCGAAGATGGTTTCTATCATAGATTTATGATTTTGAAGGGTACGAAGAAGTGAAGCACATAACTGTCTCATTGATATTTTATTTTCGCTGATGGTGCATATCCTCTCTCCCTTTATATCATCGGACCTATAGTCTTCGGACCACACAATGAGTAGTTTTTCATTCGTAATTCTAATGCACGTTCTTACAATATGCAGTGAGCCACATTAATCATATGAAGAATAATGATACTACCTGGCTGCCCAAACCTTGTTAGGGGAGCGGGGTTCGAATCCCTGACCCACTAGTTAGAAGTTGAATATCTAAACGGATGAGTCACAGGTTGTCATTCTCCAAGGTCCATTCAGTTGACTTTGTCATCTGTGGAAAACATTGATAAGGTACAAGTAATAAAGATGTCGAATTACGAAGGTTGACGTTCCCTCAAGTTCACTCTAATTGTAAAACCTGAGCACTGATAAAATGCAATTTCATATTAGATCCGTGTAGTTAACAATACTGTATCACTTTGTTCTTTACCAAATAACTAAATCCGATACAGAATTCCTACAAGCTTCTTACTCATATACACTTCCTAATATCATACTGGTGTCGTAGGATTGCAGACTACCTCATAGTGATTTGGAACCAAAAAATTAACAGTTTCATCGGAATTACTATTTATGGGTACACTTGTAATCCTTCGTTGTTTTACTGCATCGGATTGTTCGACCTTTACTGGCAGATGAGCTCCTATGCGAGTCCCAAATAGGACAAAATGCGCGTCCTGGATTCTTCTGCTAGCCACAACCAAGTTAAGTATCATAGAAATGTTACGAAAGTGCTGGTTGACCATTCGAGGTTACTTTTCATCTTGCCAGCTTGCGTGAATTTAAAGCAACAAAAATGAAACTAAAAGGAGTCAGTTATCAGTTTGACCGCTGATAACCAGATCGAATGCTTGAGAAATGGTGATATTTGTCGCCATGCACTCACTCTGAAAATAGATAGGTAACATTTGATTTATCAAGTTTTATCTCTTTAGTATAATGTATAAAATGAATATAACAGTTTCCTAAGTGTATTGTGTGCGCTGTAGTATTTAGCTTTATTATCATCTGAGTCTTTCTGTGACCAAATGTTTCCTAGCCAGTTTACACTCGCTGATATGATTGAAACCAGTAGGAGATAGATATGTTTGCACCGTATGTGCCTATAACTTCGATAGGTGTATAGCTTTAATACCTTTTTATGAAACCTTAAACTTTGATCTTGTTTTATTCACGAAGCGTCTGCATTGCATGCTTATCATTTTTTGCATACACTGAAGATGAATGCCAGTCATCTTGACGTAATCTTTACTCTTGATACCTGACGTTGGCGTCATAGGTTTAAACAGTGGTCATCGCTCTATTTTCACTAGATAGTTGGCATGCAAACCGAAATTCTGCTGACATTTCAATTAATATAAACTAATAGTTTAATCTAAACTTTCTTCGTTGAACTTGAGATTTATGTGACGTTGAAGTTAGGAATTCGTGGCTGATTGATCTAATCACTCCAGTTTCGACTAGTGGGTCAGAGATTCGAATGGCGTTGGATATATTGACGTCTGGGTTGACAGGTAGTATCGTTGAACTCACATGAAAGATGTGGCCCATGGCCTACTACACGGAACTGATTGTGGTTGCCTAGTCCCATTTCACTTTTTTGCTGATGAAGAAATAATAATAAGCAGCCAATTTCATATTGTTTATCAAAATGCTCGACTTTCAATGTCTAGCGAACTCTACCTAAAGTTAAAAAGCTCCAATCTTTTAGTTATAGATTTATTGCTTTTACTTTATCACATGATCGCCGATGCTTAGTAGTTATCTTTATTTTTGAAAACTGTATATTTTTCTACTGTTATCTTTTTTCTTCTGGGGATTATCGTTTTCCACGCAGATATGCTAAGCGACGTTCTTATTGACGGTAATGAAATGACTTCAGTTGCTTATCAAGAGCCTGAATATTGGTGTTCACTGTATTATTATGAAATGAATACACGAGTTGGTGACACATTTCATTGTTCCAGTCCCTGCTTAACTGTTGATGGTTTCACAGATCCCAACAGACATAATCGCTTCTGCTTGGGTTTATTATCCAATGTGAACAGAGGACATCAAATTGAATTGACAAGAAGACATATTGGTAAGTTCATTAGTGAAGCAATAAATATGTTTAGTCCATCCTTGTTCGCATCACACATAAGCAGATCAAAAATAAATAGTATATAGTTTAAATAAACCAGAATATGAATATAAGGCGACAATGCTCACTAAGTGTCATGGATTTGACCTTTAGAGGAGAATGTAAGATGATTATATCTCATTTGAAAGAACAACTTAATGAACAAAGAATATTCATTTCAATAAATCCTTCCTCTTGCTCTACATTTATATGCCCATTTTGTTTAATCAGAGAATAACTATGGGTTGACAACAGTGAGACTTTTTTATAGCAATAGTTTGTTAATGCTGTGTAGTTCAGGAATTCTCTTCAGAAAGGACTCGTTTTAAAGGCAGTGTCAGAATCAAGCATTGCTAGAATTCCCCTGAAAATAATTATGTAGATAATTGTTCGGCTTTTGTAACACCATGAGGTCAAAGTCACTTATCTCAGAGTTAGTTATGAACAACATTGACTTCTATAGTGCTAATTAATTTTGTTTGAAGGTTAAGATGAATTCTGTTCACGTCAGTGGGGAAATTCATGTGAGTAAAGCCTACCTTAAATAAACGGGGAATAAAGTGGATCTGGTGCTCATTGGTGATTAGCTTCGAGAGGTGATTCCTGAAGTTCCAATGGAAAGTCGTGACTGGTGGGGCGAACCTGATTGCCGTGAGGACAAATACTCAACGATGACAATGGGTGATGGTCGCGCTAAGTAATGAATTGACAGAAGTTGGAAATATGGACCATTGGACTCCGACCTAGTGGCTCAGTGGTAACTGGCTGGTCACGAAACCTGAAGGCTTTTGGTTCGACCTCTGGTGGAGCAGGATCATGGGTGTCCACTGCTGAAGTGTCCCATACTAGGACGAAACAGCTGTACAGTACTACTGGGTTTCCAATGTCCCTCCAACTGATGTCAGCCCATGAGGAATACCAACTTGAATAAATAAAATGGAGTCTAATGTAAACGTAAAATGGGATAAAAACAATCGGTGAATTCGTACAAATACGTGAGGACAAAAATGAAGTAATCTGATAAAATTAAAGGAAGGGATGAGCGTATATTTGTGTTTATCTTTGTGCTTATATGGTTGTGGATGAACACAGGATTTGATAAAAGTTAGATAATCTGAGAAATAATTTTTTAGGCAAAATAGTACATTTATGATAATTTGCTTGGTTGTGGACAGTAGAAGAATCCGGGATGTGCGTTTCGTCCTATTTGGGACTCGTCGGTTGGATATACATTTGTAAGGAAGCAAAAATAGGCTAAACATATGTGATAAAATAGTTTCCCCTTATAAAGATGAGGGTATAGGTACAATTTGGAAGTAAGAAATTAGGTTCCAGGCTGGAGAATGCTTAGAAGTTTGTTAGTTCCGAAGTACCGGCCAAGATAGCTGTAGCAGTGGCACTTGGTGTTTCTGAGTACACGACTCCGGATGCTTCATTCAGATTGCTACTGCTTCTGCTTTCTGGTGGATTCAGAGCCTAGTGCCTTATGGCAAGTTGATGAGAACCCGGTTAATAATCGAAAGTGACTTACGTCTATCCACCATGTGGCTATTTCGAACTAAGTATGCTAATATAGAGTTGGTGATGGTCTTTATTACATGTTTGCTGCAAACTGTTGGGAGGTGCTTACGAGCACGGAAATTTGAATTCCTAGAGCAAAGGTGATGTAATTGGCTTCACAGGAGCAGTCTTACTGATAAACACAACAGGAAGTTTAGGCAAAACATCTTTCAGTCTGAAGTATCATCATTGAGTGTGTGAAGAACATATTTTTTTTATTTTCCAACATTAAAAGTTTTTTTCAAGTTGATCTGCATAGTTTATGAACTAATATCTCACTGGACACCACGTCTAAATTTTACACCCGTCTAACAGTTATTTTCTGCTGGTAATAGGAATACATTTTCTTCCTACCTTTGTAGCAATTTCTTTTTATGAATTAATCAGCATTGCCGTTTTCGATTAGTGTGTTGCGTAGTGTCATAAATTCATCCTCAATTGTATTTTCCAAGCATATAGCCGTTATCCTAAAACTGAGAGTCTTAATCGAACTTCGTATGTGCTGAGAGGGAACGAAGCTAAGAAAGTGTTTACTGTCCTGTTTGTGATTTCCTCTTCATCTGCTCTTATTGAGATAAGAAGATAAAGAGACACTGTTTCGCCTTCCGAATTTCCTCATAAGTTTGACCTCTGGATGTTTTTCGTGGAACTTGCTAAGTATCTTCGACCTTTCTATGCCGTTTTCAAATGTTTTATTTTTCTGAATTTTGAGCACCTCATTTTATGCCACTAGCCATCTGCTAATGTTTTTCAGCGATTATTTTTCAATGGCTTTCGATTTATTTGACCCAACTAATAGCTGATGCCTTGACTTGGTGGTTAGACTTGCATATCACAATGACCCAACACGTTATGTTTGTGGGAACACTTATTCCCTTTTGGGTCTACTATATCAGAAATGTCTGTCGGGTAGTGGCAAGGCAAAAAGCAACTACCGTTGTAGTGCAATTTACTAAGCTATGATAAAGGTCCGAGGGCGGTGGGGACGTGATAGCAGTAGCATGTTTTCCACGAATGACCAGTAGTCCCATGCTGATGCTGCCTTTCCGGTGGTAAGGCGTTGGGGTTTGAAAATATCGGCTCAACAGGAGTACACTCCACCTCACCCTATATCCTTACAGTGACAGTGATATGGATTCATATCTGTGTTTGGAAAAAGCAAACTATAGTCTCAAACTTCCTAGGAAGCCGTTTATAACCTGCCTCAAGCAGGGTGTCCCATGCACTCTGCGATAACGCACCACTACTAATAACCCTTCTTTTTCAGGTACCTGAAGAAGAGCTAGCCTTCCACGGTTCTGGCACCTGGTAGCTGTTAACCACTCACAATTCTGTCAGCACATAAGTTCCCTCAGATCATTATCAACCTTCCGCATCCTTAACGTCTAATCTTTATTCACGTCTTTTGGTCTGCATCCCTGCATTATGTTTAGTTTATTCCAACTCTGCTGCTCTTAATAATGGTATCTGGTCTCCTGAAACTTCTCAAACTACATAATGAAACTGTTAATTTCTACACCTTCCCTCAAGTCGGTCAACAAGCTTAGCTAGCCAAAACTCTGGCATCTGAAGCTATGTATATGTACTGTGTTTGTGAGGCACACACACAGAATCCAAGGGTGGTTATTCACTTAGCATCACCTGGTCAACTTGTTGAATCCGCAGGATTCTTGGGACACGCTGGCTAGTTCTTGTAGGTGTAGACATAGGCTTGAGTCCAAAGTCCGTAAATGCATTGCTTGGATGGATACCAGTCGGCAGCCGCCTGTGTGTTATTCAACTACACGGCACAGTGAGTGCTTACGCACTCAATGACTGCAGTTCGAAAGAAGTGGAAGATGAGTTCTATTGAAAGCTAAACGTTTAAATGTGGTTATCGTAACCGGTTATTTCAATGCACAAGTGAGTAGGCTAGGCCACACAGAAAGGCACTTAGGTGGCACTTTTGGAATCCCAGCCGAACGAACAGATGACAGCGATCGCCTACTACAAGTGTGCTCAAAAAACCATCTTTTTCTGACCAGCACGCACTTCAGATATACAGAGAGATGTTGTGTAACTTGGCGTCCATCGACCCCCAACTCATCTGTGGACACAGATAGACCATGTTGTTATCAGTTATATCTAGAGAGGGTTGATGGAAGATTGTCACTGCCTCTGAAGCACGTGTTTCGACAGCGACCATGCGTTGGTTCGAGCACAACTATGTCTGTCCCTAAACGGTCGTAGAAAAGCTGTAGCTACAAAACCATTACAGGTGCAGATCGACAATGAGAACACTTAAGTTGCTTTCAGCATAAAACTGGTTAGACATTTATTGGAACGAAGCAATAACACTCATCTAGAAGAAGCCTGGCGTGATCTCCAGCTTGCTGTAAAAACAGCGTTGAAGACAGTAACTGATCCTCAGTGGTTAGAAGAGGCTAGTGGGTCTGAATTAATGGACAAATGCGAACCCATCCCTCCAGTCTCCGAGCACAATGGGGAGCAGAAGAAACTCATATGTAGACTCACAAAAAGTCAGCGCAATGGCGGCTTGAAGTGAGGGCTAAAGAGCTTAAAAAGGCAGCGGTGAGAAGTAATAATAGGCAATTATTTTAGACTTATCGAAGAAATCCGAGACGAAAAATTTAATTGTTGGTGAGTTATAAAAGAGAAAAATGAGTCTACCATAAGCTGGCAGGAGAGACGACTGGAATGATGGGTGGAGCATTTTGAGGAACAGTTCAACTGGTCTCTAGCTACTATTCGGTTGCCCGTTATCCAGTCGGGTCATAAATGGAACGCAGTAGGACCCCCCAACACTTACAGAAGTAGAGAAGGCTGTAGGTAACCGATAACAAGGAAGAGCTGCACAGCCAGATGGATTAGTACCAGGGGTACTTAAGGATATTATTCGAGGTTTATTGGTCAAATCAGCTGAAGTGTTAACAATTATATGGAAGTCAAACCTGACCATCGGTGTACTAACTAGATATTCACTCTTCGCTAGGTTCTGGAACATAGGTATATGTGCGGACGAATGACACTAATCCTGCTTTTCGACTTGAAGCGACATTTGACTCCGTCAATCGAGAGGTCCCATGAGAGTCCGAATAAAAGCGGTCCCGAGTAAGTACATCATTCTAACGAGGGCTCTGTACTCGAACATTTACGGGTATGTTAGTGCTTTTGGTGATTTGTTTACTTTGAGTGGCGTCCGTCAAGAATATCCACTGACTCTATTCTTATTACGGAAGCGTCCGTCTCGTCGTCTAACTTTACAGGGATTCATCCCGTCACAGGAAAACGCTTAATAGACTTGGAACACGCAGATGGGTTTTTTGTTGTTGGGTGAATACGCTGACACGATACAGAGTCTTCTAGACACGTAGAGTGGCAATTTGAGAATGTTTGAGTTGCATTTTTAACCATACAAATGCATATTGTTACTCTAGGACCGGTCTTGGCTGATGCTTTGTTTAACAATATGGAGTAAAGTGGTTGGGTGCATTGACGAGTCCACTTACTTGATGAGTCTGATCAGTTGTGGTAGGTGAATGATGAAATCTCAGCACAAATACCAAAGATCGACTTGGCGTTCGCTAACCTAAGCCATCCATGGCACCGCTGTAATATTCCATTGGTTATTGAGGGTTGAGTACGATGCGCTGCAGTTCGCTCTGTTCTACTATATGACTTGGAAGCATAACGACTAAGGGTGGTGGAAATGATGAAGTTTCAGATATTCGACCACTGTTGTCTTGGTAGCACAGACCGTTTGTCTTCGTGCTTCCACGTGAGTAACATTGATGTCAGGTGTGAAGTTTTGGGAAGGAGAGGTAAGTCAGTTGATGAGGTTGTGTAACTTCATCGACTGACGTGGCTGAGACAGACACGTGTTACACACTGGTAGTTTCTGTCTGCCTCGTTGAACATTGTTGTTTGAAGTAAGTGCATGCTGGAAAAGGCTAGAGGTTGTCAGGTTAAACATGGTATCAGTCACTGAAGTCTTTTATTGTTTGTCTGAGCCGTGTAGGGAAATGTAGACTTCCTAGTTGATGTTTGGGTGACCGGTTACCGTTGATTGGAGACTGTAGTCGATATGAATCGAGTTTAGTGATGCAGATGTATCCACCCATCCCATTATGTTAATCTTAAGCGTCGTATCGAATCTCACTATTTTTTCACCCATCCTTTTTTTCTTTTTGCATCTTCTTACCACTTTTGATCGCGCTCACTCTTTTTCAAGCGTTTTTCGTCTGTATGCATTCTCTCTTGGTGTGCTGGCATGAGGTGTAATAACTAAGAGCTCTACGCGGTCATGCCAGGTCCTATGTTGATAATTTTGTCTATTTGTCGATACAATTCCTCCCAATATGCTGTTTTGAGGTGTTCTGATCCGATAGATTATTGTGTCAAATTCTACTTCCAGTTTCTTGTCTTCTGACGCATAGTTCGTTGCCAGGTTTCAATATTCACTTTGCCTTGAATGATTGACAGAAATTTTCTGTTTTTCAAATAGTCCTACGGTGTTCATTCTTTAATATTTGATTTCGTTTATTGACTTCTCCAGTCCTCTGTGTATGTGCGTACATGTGCTAATGAGATTTCTGGTAACGTGGCCTATTGCCTTCTTGTGGTAACAATTCAGTATTGATTGGTTTGTTTATGCTTTTAAAGGTCTTTCTTTCAAATATTAAGCGCATGATAATTTCTTTTTTTATCTGTCTCACTATCGATGAATTGATTTTCTCTCATCGAAAAAAATAACAAGAACAAATAATTTATCATACAGACTATTTAAAAGAAGCTTACATCTCTCTTCCTCAGTTTTCCTACTTCTATCGTTTTCTCTATCCAGCGATGAAAAGGGTAGATTTGTTTTTAATGGACAAGATATAGGAAGTATAGAGAAGTGACACTGTTACCTGCCAGATTGATTTTCTATGCTGATCAATAAAGGAATAGGATGTAATAACGGGGGCATAAATGTAGATCGATTTAGATCGAACTAGTACGTTGTATGTTCCTTCCAAATGTTTAGGTGTAAGTACTTATGTGCCTTTGTATGTGTACAAAAGCGATTTCATTCATATGTAATCAAAATAATTAGGCACTGGGGTAATTTTAAGCTTAATAAAAGTTGGTAACGGTTGTACTGCATACTTTTGTGACATTTTACTCGCCAAGCTTTCTTTTATGGCCTGTGTTGTCGATTGTATTTGTACATGTATTTACATGCTACAATGACTTATGTGACTGTGTCGTTCTTGTACATTCATTTGATATAGTCATTTGTTTCTCACCAAATAATTTCGTTCTTAATTTATGCCGATACACATAAACTGTAACCTTTTGTTACATACGTTAAATCACCAATCAAGATGATTTGTCATCTTAACACCATTCAGTTTCATGATAAAACAGAATTTGTTTAATTGGTTAACCGTTTGCAGTCATACGTTGATTATAAAACCTACCTATTCTATTAGGGCTGATTAAACATGAGCAAGTGACGTGGAGATTGAATAGAAATTAAATATCTAAGCGCCTTAGTAACAACTGTACCGTTGGATATGTGACGTGCAGATCATCACGAGAGATGTCGCAAATCTAAAGTCCTTTCTCTGAACCATAAATGTTCTGAGAAACACACTTCTCAAACAGGTCTCCCTAACAAACAGATCAACATCAAATCGTATACAAAAAGAATCAGCCTAAGTAGCTACATTTCACAACAGCACAAAAAGGAAGTGAGTTGAAAAAGAATGAGAGTAAAATACATAACTGTGTGGTAGGGGAAAGAATGTACACATAAAAATTCGTGAAAATGTTCAAAACTTTGGGAGGCTACAGATTTTCAGCCATTTTCACCAATCTAAAACACGGGATCAGTTTATGCGACCTCTGATTATTGATCTGAGGTATGTAGGGAAATTTTAACATCTAGATTGGGGGTTAATTTGACATTGGGACTCAACAATGAGGAACTTTTGGTAACTTCATCACGATGCAATCTCATTGACGTAGATGCATATATGCGATATCTTCGTTCTAACTGTTGAAACGCATCATATCAACTACTCCAAGTCTTCCTTTTTTCTTTGTATGGTCTTCCAGAACTTTGGACTGTTATCTCTTTTTCTCTGACTTTCATTTTGTTACCTTGTTTTTGGATATGTTGTGTTACAACTACATTACGCAATAATCCCACGTCTCATTTTGATATTGACTGACCACCTTGAACTGTTCACCAAGAGCTTCAAACCACGGATTCCCAATTACTCTAGAACTCCAACAACGTAAGCCAAACGAATTAAATAAGCAGTCCTCTTAAGTCGATCAAAAGTAATTGTTACCTATCTTATGATAGCTTTTTTACCTCCACTGTTTGCAATTACTACCTAAACAGGATGCGTCAAATTAGTTCATTCACTGTGTTCGAATCTGATTAAAAGCGGTCGTCAAATACTTACCAGTTTGAAGAATGTTTATAAAAGTCATTAGCGTTACTTGATTTTTGGATGATGTTTCCTGTTTTTCTTCCTGCCATTGTCTTCATAACCGACTGGATCTGATGCTATGCCGCATGATATTATATACCAGTTATTGTCTATCCTTCCTCCTGTGAGTGCATGCCATGCATTGTACTCATATTAAAACATAGCATGAAGCTGCAAATTTAATGGTTTCTATATGGATTCTTTAGGAAGGATAGCATTCATTCACTTGTCCTGTTCAGTAGTAATCGACGTGATTCGTAACATTCTAAATTACTTAACCTTCTAAACACTATGAATGACTTCGATTATTGATACCATGCGAAGCACAATATCGCCTATTAGTATAGATTCAAAAATAAACATGTCATGGATATTTGTGTTCTGACCGACTCTTGTCTGAGCGTTACAAAATGTTGATTGTCATTTAACCATATAATTCATTTTTTCTGTTAACTTTTTTATCATAGGTAAAGGGGTTAAACTATATTACATTGGCGGTGAAGTGTTCGCAGAATGCTTGAGTGATAGTGCTATATTTGTACAATCTCCAAATTGCAATTATATGTATAAATGGCATCCAGCAACTGTATGTAAAATTCCTCCAGGATGTAATTTAAAAATTTTCAATAATCAAGAATTTGCTAATTTGCTAACAGAAAATGTAACTAAAGGTTTTGAAGCTGTTTACTCACTGACAAATATGTGTACAATACGAATGAGTTTTGTCAAAGGATGGGGTGCTGATTACCGGTAAGTAGTCGGTTACTACTGTATAACTAAAGCGTATACCCTTGTGTTGTCCTTTAATATTGTGTTTTTCTTTCGTATTTTCATGTGTAGAAGTAATTGTGGATGACTGTGTTTATAAAGAACATGAACTCGCTGACTATTTCATAATGTAGCATCTACTTTAGTGTTGGTTACCACTTCCCAAAACGATGCATATACGAGGTCGTAGGAGAAAGGGAATTATTGTTACATCTAGACGTCAAAGTTTTTCAATCAGGAACTACTTTCCATTATTATCCAACCTGTTACATGTTTTTGTACTAACTGAGTAACAGTTAGTCGCTATCTGGTTTCTTGGATCCGAATAGATCTGGTTTTGAACACAAGACCCAGTTCACTAACTAAACCAACTAGTCAACGATCCATTACACTTTTTTGCTAATTTCACTTGCTTTGAAATATTTAATATCTCTGCTGCCGAATATTGTTTTTTATTACGGCTATTTTTAAATGTTTATGTTGCTCAGACTCCTGTAGACAATACTATCAATGCAGGGTTATTAGTGGACCAACATGATTTTCATAGTTTTCACTCGTATTCTCTGTCTAAAAACTAATACGCACCATAACTACCACTTATGATCTTGGCATATCTGCGAAACATTAATCGATATCATCTGATATTTTCATATTTCCTTAAAGATGTTATGCAGCTGTAAAGTGGTTTCTTTTCTAATAACATACCACTTCACTTTATCTGTCGGAAATATCCCAATTGATTAGGCGTTGATTAGAATACGAGATGGTCATTGGGGAATAATTTGTGTACAGAATATAGTCTCATAGGGGGTCACTTGTGGCCTGAATAGTTTGCTGACAAAGTCTTTAACTTACAATCTTCGATGGAGCATTGCTTTCCTCAAAGTGGCATATTCACCCTTATCGACCCTTATTGTCCACTTTAGCATGTGGTTTATATTTGCGAACGTAGCTGCATGATCAATCGGATCACCACAACATTCAAAGCATAGATAACGTCCTTAAAGGTTAAACAAAAGTATCTATTTAAGAGAAGAAAATGAAGCTCAGTAATCAGTATCAATTGAGTGGAATGTTTTGTTCATGGTATGTACGTCAAATATCTAACTAAATATGGAACACTGATTGAAACCGAAACAATTGGTTGTTGGATGTTATTGCGGAGATCGACAAATACTTTTTAGCAAACTAGATGTATTGATTGAAGCGTTACTTAAAGTAGGTCATTTTAGCAACACCCTTCAGGAGCCCATATGCCAACAGAGACTGATCAATTCGGTCCAATCAACGACGGTGTAATACAAGTAATAACACTAAACCTATACCCGTCGCACAAGAAGTGGCTATCGTGGCTCGGTGGTGTAGTGGATAACGCGCTGGCGTTTCAAGCGATCGCCCCCGAGTCCCGGTGGGAACAACACTCACTGGGAAGCAGGTACATCCAGCTGACGAGTCACAACTAGGACGAAATGCGCATCCTGGATTCCACTGCTAGCCACTGCCCATCATTACTAAACATAGTTAAAAGACAAGCAATATCGAGGCATCCGCATAGGAGCCCATATGTCAACAGGGACTGATCAATTCGGTCCAATCAACGACGGTGTATTAAAACAATAACACTAACCCTGCAGGTAGTTGTAATTATTGTTTACAGTTAATCGCTATCATTTTTAAATCGGTTCATGGATGCTGTCACTCCTTTTTTCTATTTCTTGTAATAGTTTCACCTGTTTCATATTGTATTCAGTTTTAGATTTTTATGTGTCCTCTCTGCTTTTTTGTTTTTGTCTTAATCCCTTTATCATTTTTTCCTTGTTGCTTAGTCGACAAACCGTGACAAGCACTCCATGCTGGATTGAAATTCATTTGAATGGACCATTACAGTGGCTTGATCGTGTCCTCAGCCAGATGGGTTCTCCAGACCATCCTTGTACATCTGTAAGCTGAATCAGAAAACTCGTCAAAATTTGTGGATTGTAATCTACCATAGTCTCCTCTCCTTACAAAATATTTTCCGACGTCTTTCGAACATTCAACAAGTACATCTGAACAATAATGTGTACTTATAATTCATTGAATTATCATCCCACAGTGTTTCTACATGAACTGTGCTTTTTTGGTATAGGTTTCAGCTGTGTGCTGTCTGTTCTTAGCTTCGTTTTCCCCTTAGTTTATTGAATTTAGAAAAAAAGGTTAGCCCTCCAGTTCTCTCATTGTAATTACAGCATCAGATGGATGAATTCATCTTATCAGATTATCAATTTACCGATTAGTTACATCATGATATTATACTACTCTCACTTCCTTCATCTTCTGTTTATTGTCTCCGAGTAAACAAGGTAATAAATTCTTAGTGACCATTTACTTTTCATCACGGTTATCCTTCCATGTAGTTTATCATTCCAAGTTGTTGTCGTTATTGTTGGTTGTAGACGCATATTTTGACTGCTTACTTTCACTGCCTTACTATTCCTTAATGTCCACGTATGTCACTTTCATTTTTTTAATTGCATTGTTTGGACCTTTTATGTACTGTTCCCATTCAACACCCCACCACTGTCAGCGAAAGTTTATATATACGTATATTTATCTATGTATACCTTTTTGGTTTATCAAACATCCTATATTCTTTTTCGAACACGAAATGTATATTTTTTTTTTGACAAACTCAAAACTATTCTTTTCATTTTCCCTTGACGCATATTCTTTCTTTCTTAGTGTATGTATGTATAGTTTAGTGTAATTATGTCAAAGTATATGTCCCACTTTTTTTACGTCCTGCAGCGTATGCGCCACCACTGCCATGATGGTATGTGTATTCCGCCTTCCTGTATTGTAATAGCAGTCTAAACTCCTTAATGAATTGTCTAAAAGTTTGTTTCCTTCTTAGAGTGTGTTTATTCCATTTGTCAGCGCCCTTACTTCCTCTGGTCTACGTACGTCAAGGTCGGTTCCTAACTGTTATCATTATACAAGTGTAGTTTTTCATGTGGAACTGCCGTTTATTTCAACGGATATCTAACTGAGAGTTAACCCGGTTGTTCTATTCTATGTAAGTGTTTTGCTCACATATGCAATGCATCCAGATTGTTGTTATCCCCGAAATCGGGCATTTAAAGTTCAGTCAACTACCATGACTATATATACAACATATGATTGTTCAGTTGGACTTGCATATCGAATTTCACTTCTCGTATTATCCTAAGTGATTTTTCATCACTTTATCATGGCATTATTATTACTGTTACTAATACCAATGTTATGTTGTCAAAATTGGTGTCATTATGGGTTGTAATTCACATTGTCATCTTGTTTCTTATCATAACAATTCCTCGATCTCTTTGTTTTCCAGTTTGTTTCTCAGGCCCCGTATGTTACTCAATTATCGAATGAATATTATATTGTCTGGGATTTCTTTTTAACCGTAGTTTTTTTCGCTTTCATTAATTTCCCACTTCAAAACCTATACATAAACATGCTTACGTTACTTATTTTGTTGTTTTAATTGACACATGGTTTGTTTTGTTCTATAATTATTTGCATTCTCTTTTTTCTTGGACTTTTCATTTTGTTTTTAGCTGTCCACTTCATTTAATTGATGTCAATGATGAAGCAGATGGCTTAAAATCTTGTATTGATTGTATTGCTTTCCTTTATCTAGAGATAATGAGTAATTTATTCATCAATACATACTAAGTATTTTTTTGTCCTTTTCAGTGAAGATGCTATAGTTGCGTGTAGCTTACTTCACTACTAAAAAGGACTATGAGAAAAAACTGATGTTAGTGGATAGTACGCAGGATCAATCCTACGAAACTTTTTTAACTATTCTGTCAACTGATGTCAAGGAGATGTCATTTGAGGTGTGTGGTAGTACACTCAATTTGGATAAATTAACACTTCTATTCTAAACAAAATGAAATATTTGAACTCTACACGAAGAGACTACAATTTTCTTGATTAGTTAGGTGTATTTGGTATAGCACCTCAGGTATTGGAAGCTCAGACTTGTGGTTTCAGTGTAACAAATGGGAATTCACCTGAAGCTGCCAATTTCTGAGGTAGACACATTCCGTTTTTGATTTAAACTGCTGTGTGATTAGAATACGTTTATTAGATAGTTTTAGTGCATATTTTGACTTATCATGAGGAAGTAGCTGTTCTATTTACTTGTGTGTATAGTTACAATTGTTCTATGTGTAGGATTTACCATTTGAAAGTATATTATTCAGTGTCTATGGTCTTGCAGGTGGATGAACAGATTGCTGCCTATGAACTCCTTACCTGAATGGACCAATCACAAAAAGCCTCTTGAGGTTTTCTCTAATCATGACATTCTCATTCACCTAAACGTTCCGTTGCTTTAGTGGCTGAAGTACCGTCGATTCTATCTACCGCAAACACTCATAATAACCGGTTACCTAAGAACACACTTATCTTACACATCGTAAATTTTCCTTACTGGTTTTTAATCAGATGATCAAAAGTGGTAATGATTGAAATTTTTACTATGACCTTCATAAGATCGAACCTCTTAAATTCAGTTTTTCTACTATTTGGCGACCATTGATACTAAATGGAACTCATTTAGTTGCAGTCAGACCGGTGATGTTACGATTTTTACCTCTAAAGAAGTCGCCTTCACATGAATAAACATTATAAAAGGGGATCCGTGGAATTATTCTTGAAAATTGTTTTCAGGAGACTTCTGAAAACCGTCTGAATTTCAACAGAGATTATTATCTTTGTTTCATATACAATCTGGCGTAATAATCACGTTTGAAATGGTCACCAACCAAGGATCATTTACAGTCAACGACTAGTTGTCTACAGACCCGCAAACCCCTTATATTTCTCGTGAATGAGATCCAATTCGTATCTGTCTCTTTATTTCTTCTGGAATCTTTCTTTTTATGCATATTCTGGACAGCATTTACGCCAATGACTAAGAGTTCTAATGAAGAAGTGTAGTCCATGCAATATTGTATATTCACGCTTGTTTTAAATTTTTGTATATTCTTAGTTTTACTTGAATAAATGTGTATGCCAAAGGTCAAGGTTGTTCTAGAATTATACACAACAGAATTCTTCTATGGAATTATTTTTCTAATGTAAGCAAATTAATAGCTATTTTGGTTTCATTGTCACGCTTTTTAATATTATTTTATTCAGTCTTATTATTCATGTCCCTTCTGTTGCGTATATATTTACCTTGACCTAGAATTTGCCTGATTGTCTAGAGTTATGATGAATCTGATTTTCAGATGATTCCAATTTAAATATGTCATTATGTGTATGTGTTTCCGTGTTACATGAATCAATCAATGAGTGAATAGTCTTACGATGATAAGGTCAGATTTGGTTCACTCTCAAATATCCTACGTGCATGTAGACATTGATTCTGAAGTGAACCGACACAAATTGCTAAATTATGTATGCAAATTTTCTACATATATTTATAAGTTAGATACCAAATTAATAGGTTCTTGGTTTAAATATTTACAATGTCAAAACTACACACTTTGATTCTAAGGTTCAGCCGAAATCCTCTTGACCGATGGCTGCTACCTTAATGTAGTAGTCAGGCTTGCATATTATAATTACCCAACGAGCTTCATTGGCTGAAATCCTCCGAGGTCTCACTATTTCAAGAAGGTATGTTGGGTAGTGGGAAGATGAAAAGCAATTAAATTTATAGTGTAAATTACTACACTATGTTGGCGGTTCAAGGGTGAATTCATACTGTTGGGTGAATTGTGTTTCACAGCAGTAAAGTGTTTCCTTTGGACGACCGGCAGTACCGTGCTGATGCTTCCTTCCCTATGGGGAACGAGGGTTAGAAAATGATGACCCCTTAAATAGCACACTACTACCTGCCCTATAGGCATTCGCTGCTGGTGGTATATGTTTATCATATTCTGCGTTAGAACATGAAAATCTCAAACCAACAATCCCTAAGCCGCTATGTGTGACGAGCCTTAAGCAGATGTTACACAACTTTTGCTTACGCAGATCTCTTTCAGGTACCGTTTAAAAACAACCTCCATGGTGGGGGTACTCGGGAAGGGTCAACCGCGCGCATGCTTCCAGTAGTATACAAGGCTAAATCAAACACAACCTGTCCTCCTCAACTCTGCCTCCCCCTTTGCATTTACTTCATCTTACAACTTTCTCAACCTCTCACTATATAACCATTGCCAATGGCCCGAGCCTTCGAAACTTCATTCGTAGTCTCTTAGGAGCGCACTGCCGATTCCATGTAGAAGCTTTAAACGTCCGGGCTATGCCATTCCAGACAATGAAGACCACTCACCAGAATTATAGTACCGAGAGACATGGATTTATGCTGTCTCTGAGACGAGTATACGGGATCAGAGTATGATTATTAAATTGACCTCACCTGGTTCTAGTAGTGAATCTTCAAAATTCAGCATACGAGTGTCCGGAGACCCAGTGACCAGTTCTCGTGCACTCGCTAGTGTAAGGATTGTATTGATTTCTGTGCTTCTCTGTTGGATACCAATCAACAACCATCTACCCGACTGAATGGGTCTGTAAGAACTAGGAAGGATGATGAGACCAACCGGCCCTGACTCATAACCTCCCCGACCGTAGTTCGGATGGTGCAAAGGATGAATTCCATGAGATGTCAATTTTACCACGAAAAGCATGACATTCAGACGTAGTCATACTAGCAGGTGACTTCAGCGCTCAAGTAGGGAGGCTGAGCCAGTCGAAATTGCATCTTAAAGGTATCTAAGGAGTCCCATGCCAAAGAACTGACAACGGTGGTTGTCTTTCGCAGTTTTGTTCTAGCAATCATTTGTTTCTGGCCAGCACTGACTTTAAGCATAAAGAGAACCTGTCTCATATATAGTGTCCGCCGACGTTAAACCGGCGATGGACAGATCACATAGTTATAAGTCATCATTGGAGAGGATCGCCAC